TTGGAGGCTGCATTTTGCTCAGAGGATGGGTGTTTGTGCAGGCAGGGCTGTGCTGAGAGAAGCTCCCAGGGATTCTTTGCCTCCCCACAGCAGAACAAAGCCTGCAGGGAGCTCATTGCACCGGGTGGTCACTGGGAATGGCACCTCTTTGTCTTCCTCCCTCCCTGCAGCAGGACAGGGGCTGTGGGGTCCATGGTGTCGTGGTCCTGCTGTGGTGTTTGGTCAGGATTCTTGACAATCTGCTTCAACAGAGGGAAAATTTAAGGGCTTAAATTTAGAATATTTTACAACTCGTTTGAAGCTCAGCTTTCTAAGTGAACCAGTGCTGAGTAATGCTTTCAAAACCTGACTCTCCCACGTTTGTTCAAGTCCTTCACACCCGTGTGAGGGATGGACCCAAGCTGGGTCCTGGCACTTTCCAGGCTCTGAAATGGTGAAAACGTGGGGAACTGAAATACTGGTCTATGCACACTGATGCTTCCTTCCCCAGCTTTCCTGGCACTGTAATCTGAGTTTACAAGAGTTTAGTGGCATTTTGGTTCCATGACATCTGGTCCTGTGTGTGTGTGTTGATGTCACTGTACAGTTTGGGCTGTTCTCAGTCTCCCATTGCTGAGCAGAGCCATGTTCTGTGTCTGTCAGTGAGTTTATTCTCATTTTCCCCTGCCCCAGGGAAGTGTGAGCAGCTTCCTTCCTTCTCTCCAAGCTGCCTGAGCCCATTCCTTGGAGCACAGGAGTGGAATGGCTCTGCTTCTGGGAAAGGAAATGTATACAGCAGCTATTTATAACCTGTACATGAATGCATGATTTAATGTAGTTAAATATTCATATGGTGAGTGCCAAGACTTTCTACAGCACGTTGTTACGTGAATCAAGGTGAAGGCAAATGCACAGAACCATGGTATGGATTGGGCTTGAAGGCTTTTAAAAGCTGCCAAGTCCAACCCCTGCCATGGGCAGGGACACCTTCCACTAGCCCAGAGTGCCCCATGCCCTGTGCAGTGCCTGTCCCCTGGCACAGAGCAGGGCTTGGTGGCACCTGGCACCTCAGGGCAGCAGCAGTGTCCAGTGGCACTGTGACCCCACCGTGTCCCAGCACGGCTTGGGGAGACAAAAATCTGCATTTTCCAAAAAATGGGCTCAGCTGTGCATTGCTTGGAGTGTTGCCTCCACACGTGGTGGTTCCAGCACGTTGTCCATGGGTTGTGCTTGGGTGTAGCTGCAGGGAAGCTGAGTGCCAGGGCTCCAGCTGCCCACACGTCCTGGTGCCACCAGCCCCAGGGATTTGCCACAATGAGCATCTTCAGGTGATGCTGCCCCAGAAGGACAGAGAGCACACAGAGGTGCAGGAGGTGGTGCTGGGGACACTTTGGTGTGACTCTCAGCCTGGCAATTGCTGCCAGGGCTCTCCAAGGGGGAATGGCTGGTGCTGTGGGAGCTGCTGCTCTCAGGAAAGGCCTGGAAAGATCAGAGCTGCTGTGGCTGAGAGCCAGACCAGGCTGGGGGTGTTTTCCAGCAGCTGAGTGTGCAGTGGATGCTCTGAGCAGCTCGAGAGCTTCTCTGGGAAAGTTGTGAAGAGAAGTGTGTGAGTGTGGCTGTGGGCAGAGCTGGCATGTGAGGGCTCTGCTGCAGGACTGCAGCTCTGGCAGGGACATCAGTACTTGTGTGGCTGTTGGGCTTTGCCTTGGATGTGGTTTTGTCTGGCCATGCTCAGAGAATCATGGAATAGTTTGGGTTGGAAAGCTGTGAAGTCCATTCAGGAGGTTCTGGGCACCCTCATTGCTCTGGCTGCACAGAAATGTACCTGATTCCTGATTTGCTTTTGATCCTGGGAGTGTTCAGTGAGCAGGATCCCCAGTGCTGCTGGCTGGTGTAAATGCAGAAATGCAAGTTGGAAAACGGGAGAAAGACAAATTGTTCAGGTACAAGAGTACTTTCCATGGAACAGAATGGCCCCTCCACTCTCTGTACCTGCTGAGACACAGAGTGGGCACTGCTGTGGTGTGTCAGAGATGGGGGCAGGTGCCAGTCCCTGTCCAGCCACACTGGCCCTGGGCCTGCAGCCCTCCAACAGCCCCAGGGCTGGGCCATGTGCTGCTTTGGCATTTCCAAATGACCTCCTCAGTTCCACTAATAACTCCAGATATTCTCTTATCTCTAATGGATGGTTTTCATCCTGTTTAAATTCGTGCCTTGTCCTTTCCCCTCCTCTTCCCTAGGGAACAGGACAACTGTGTGCTGCAGCCAGCCGTGTCCCTGGAGCAGTGCTGTCCCTGGGCAGCTGTGGCAGGGCTGGGTGACAATAGCTGGTGGCTGTCCCTGCCCTTGGCTCTGTGGGGCCAATCTGGGTCCCTGCACAACTGTGGGAGCTGATGTGAAACTCTTTAGCCTTCCTGGCCCACTCCCAGCATCACGGATGGGATTGTTCCTTCTTGGAGCAGTGCTGGGCATTTTCCCTCCCCCAGATCTGAGCCTGAAGGGACAGCTCTGCTCTGTGCTGGAGCATCCCTGGGCACTGCCCAGCCCTGCTGCCACCCCAGCCCTGTCCCCAGTGTCCCCTCATGGCTCCTGTGAGCAGAGTGAGGCGTGAGGCAGCACCCCAGGGGCGAGGGAGCCCCCAGAGCCCCACAGTGCACGCGGGTCACGAGCGTGGAGCAGTCAGGACAAACGCAGGCGCCGATGCGGAGCCGCCCGGAGAGGAGCTCGTCCCTGCGCTGCCCTGTTTCTCTGAACTGGAATTCGGAATGTTTACCTCAGTGTACATAGCTCAACCTTTCCCTGGGAGGAAAGGGGAATTGCATGGAGCAATTGCTGTCCCATTGCTTTGCCAAACTCCTCGTCCTCTCCCAGCCGGGCTCCGCATCGGTACCAGCTGTCCCTCTTGGACCTTTCTAGGATGTGAATGGTAAAAAATGTGAATATTTGTTGTTTACTTCCTTAGCAGAACTCTTGATGCCGTGTTTGTATGGGAAATCAGCCTGAGCAGACCCATATGCAATCGGTTTTACTTTATTATAAACTGTATATGATGTACAAACTAATAAAAACTCAAACGACGACAGTGTCACTGTTGTTCTTGAACAGGCAGATGAAGGAGAGATTCCAGCTGTGTATTCTGGTGCTGGAGTGATCTGGGCACTGGGGGTGTGGGCTCAGCCAGCCCCTGAGCAGGTGCTGGCAAATCCCTTGTAGAGCTTTGGTGGATCAAACCCTTGAGGTTCTGTCAGCTGCTGCCAAGTGTGGAAGGTTGGAGGGATTTCTCCATGAAGGGTCACAGGTGCTCTGGGTGGGTTTATAGCTCACTATTTTATGGTAGAACGAGAATTTATTCTTATCCTTTGCTTCTGATCAGCAGGAAGTATTTTGCTTACACAGCAAAGTGTTTGGTAGCAGAAAAGCACCAAAGCTCTCCCTGCTTTTGGCCTCAACAATCAGAGAGAAATGCTCCTTGCCCCAGCAACATTGGACTCCGGGTGAGCTGTGCCCAGGCCTCAAACACAGTCAGTATTTACAGGGTTAGTTGGGTTAATTCACTCTGCTGCTCCCCAGAGCAGAGCTCGAGCTGGGAGCGTCCCTGGGGCTGTTAGTGGAGCTTTGTGTTAAACAATGCCCAGGAGCCACGGCCCTGCTGGGCCAGGGCCTGCCAGAGCACAAACCCAGGTTTCAATAGAACACATTTAATGACACAAGTGCTGGGTCAGTAACTTCCAGCTGGGGTTTAGGTTCGAGCAGACGTGAGTTACAAGGTTACAGTGCCTCCACTTCCTACACTAAGGGGTTACTCCAGCCTAACTTAACATTCAAGTGCATTAGAGGAAGGGAGTAAAATCTTGCATGAAGTCCAGTTGTGTACTTCAGACATGATTTTAGTTTCTTATTTGATAAGATGGAAAAGATGTTAGTTCATCTCTTCCACTCCCTGCCAAGGCAGGATTGTTCCCTACAGGACAGGGGATGGTGCTTGGTCCAGCCCAGGTGGAGGGAAATGGCTGGAGGACCTGCTTTGCAGGAATTGGCTCCCTGTCCTGGTGTTTCACTTGATTTCCCCAAAGTTGGTGTCTTTAAGGCATCACCTGGCACAGTGCCCTCCTCCTGGCTGTCCCCAGAGCATCCCAGGAGCTGGGATGGAGCCCACTGGGGGCAGCTGTGATTAGGGCTGCCAGGACCCGCTGCCCTCAGCAAGGTCTGTCCTTAGGGCCAAACCCTTGGTAAGGACAGGACTCCTGACAGGAGTGACCCATGCCCGGGTCTCACTGGTTCTGACGCTGTGATCAGAATGGCCAGTGCCAGCCCCAGGGTGTGGGAGGGGAGGGACATCCTGCAGTTCCCTTGGCTCCAGACCAGCGACTGCCAGGCTTTGGTCAGTGCCAGCAGGTAAAGATCGAACGATTGTGGTTCAGAGGGAAGCAATAAAAGCCCCAGAGTTGATCTTTCTCCAAGGAAGAAAACAAGCAGGACACCCCAGCAGGTTCCCTCCAAAACTCACATTAAAATCCGTGACAGTTGCTTGTTTTCTTCCTTTTCTGAGGCCGATAACTCCCCAGAGGCTTCACGCTGGGGTGGGCAGGAGGGTTGACTTTAGTAAAGGTAGAAATTATTTCTCTTTACACTTTTAAGGTTACAGGAGTTACTTGCCTTTTAAAAACAAGCCGAGGAGCTGCCCTGCCCGTGCTCCTAGATGATGGTGCAGGAGCTGAAGGCAGCGCCCCGTTTGTTGGTGCTCTGCGTTGGCACCAGCTTTCCCTTCCCGTAGTACCCCGAGAATATCGCCCTCACATCAATCTTTTTCGACAGCACAAGCATCCACATCCCATTATCAAAATACAGCAGTTTCCCTCCTCCAATTTCCCCCACTTGCTCCCCTTTGTTCCCTGCCTTTTCCAGCTTGACAAACTCCAGCAGGTCGAGCCCGGTCTGGACGGCCTCGACGCCGTTGGCGCAGCCCAGGGTGATGTGGGCACGGCTGCCCCGGGGCAGGTTGTCCGTGGGCAGGATCTTGTCAGCATCCCCCGGCCACAGCAGCAGCTGCTGCTCGCTCAGCTCGATGCGAGCCCCGACAGTCTTTGTGGTGATGAACAGGGCAGAGATGGACAGGGTGAAGCCTTTGCCATAGGAAGCCTTCACAGCCTGCAGAGGGACACACACAGGGGGCAGGGTTAGTGCCTCTGGTGGGGATGCACTGGGGCTGCTCCTGCTGTGGCATGGGCAAAACATCCAGAGCAAGGAGAAGGTCAGTGCCTGATGTGCCAGCTCTGTGGATCTGGAGCTGGTAATGTCTTTCCATTATCTAACCTGGCCTTATGTGCTCTGAAATAACCAATCTGAGGATCTAAATACCTCAATTCATCATCATTCAGCTCAAGCTGTCAGAGATTATTCTGGAAGTCATGTGTGATTGGGGAAAGTTGGAGTATTTTGTTTGGAAATAGGAAACGAAATCACCACATCCACAGTTTGGAGTTTTCTCTGCACAGGCCATATGGATGTAGTTCCTGTCCCTATATTTGGCCTCTTGGGTCAGAGCAAAGCCCATCCCCGACCCTCTCCCAGGCTCATGGACACCCCAAAGGGGAGGGAGGGGACACGGGGGTGTGGGGAGGAGGTGGGACCCCAACACTCACTTCCTGCTGCGCGTATTCCTCGGCTCCAGCTGCTTTTCCAAACTCAGTGTATTTCGTGGTGCAGTGCAGGACCCCAGGTGGCCTCTTCACAAAGTAGCTGGTGAGATCTATTTTTATTTTGGGATCTTCGATAGCAGAAGGAACTGCAGATACAGGTGAACAAAGTCACTGTCACAAAGTGATGCCCCTGATGTCAACCCACCAGCCCTGGTCCCATCTCTGCCTTCACATCTCATCTCTGACTGCTGGGTGGGAAACCAAACCCCTCCCTCCTCCCAGGCTCACTGCAGATGGAGCCAGAGAACAGAAGCTCCTGTGCATCATCGTGGCTCATCTTAAACCTGATGAGATGTGAGAGTCCCCTAAGGGATGAGATGTTCAGTTCAGCCTTTCCCATTTCCCTCTCTTTGCCTTTTTCCCACCCAACCCCTTGGAACCAGGGGACACCCAGGATCCCATGTCCTGCTGCTGCCACCTGAGCTCAGTGCCCTGTGGGGCCAGACCTAAGCAGACCTGGGAAAAGCTCTTTAATTTACTCAAAAAAGCAACTTTGTCAACTATGAAGACCAGGTTAGTAGCTTTAAAAAGCTTTTTTTGTTGGCACTGTTAGAAATTGACTTTAGAAGCTAATCAGACTCATCAAGAGGTAAGAATGCTGTAAAAGAGCATCAATACATACAGTATTTACTCTCCTTTTTGAAGGCTTTGAGACTCCCAAGCTCATCCAAGAATGCCTGGCCAGCCTTCCTCAGGATCTCCGAACTTCTTTTGCTCAAAAACCACCCAAAATACATGGGCAGGAATTCCTTCTCTAAGCTTGGCTTCATCTTCTTCAGCTCTTCCACAGACAGTTTCCACTGGTTCTTGTCCTTGAGCTGGGGGCAATCCAAGCGCCAGGGGGTTTTGGGCTCGGCAAAGATGACTTTGTAGCGATACTTGTCAGCAATGTCAAAGAGCTGCTCCAGCCGCTCCCGCTCGTGGTGGGTGTCGTCCAAAACAATGACGCTGATCTCCCGTTTGCAATAGTCAACTAGATCCTCATCCACCTTGGAGTACTCTTCAGGAATGGAGCTCCTGATTAGTGGTGTGATTTTATAGTGATCAACAGAGATGACCTTGCAGGCGTCTTTGTAGCGATCGTGGATGGCCTGGGCCAGGGTGGATTTCCCGCTGCCAGGCAGGCCCCGGAGGATGAAAAAGGTTTTGGATTCTTTCAGCGTGGAGATGGTGTCTTCATCGTCCAGGAATGGGAAATGCAAACTCTCAGGTCTCTCTTTCGCTGATTGAGTAGACATTTTTCTAAATATTTTAGGCAGGAAAGGGTGACTCTTCTTGGAGAAGCCTCTGTTCTGGAATGGAAGGAGAAAACACTTTGCAGGGCAGGAACTGCAGAGATAATGTGGCGCTGCTGGGACCTTTAGTGGAAAGGACGAGCACAGGGAGCTTCTCCCCCACACTGCCTCACTTGGGTGCCCTGCTCAGCTGACTCCTTCTCCCACAGCTGCTCTGGCTGGTTGTACAGCAGAAATCCACTGCATCTCACCCAAGGGCTGACTGAAGGTTCAGCCTTGCTCTGGGCTCACAGCTGCAGTCCTGCCCCACTGGGAAGGGATTTTTCAGGCACCAGGAGCTGCCACAAAGCCCCAGCCCTCCTCGTGTGGCACATTCAGCCCGAGCTCTTGAACAAACACACCTGTGGCTGCCGGATGTGAGGGCAGTGACCCACGGAGGAGCGCAGGGGAACGGAAAGTCCCAGCAGGTTGAGAGCTGCCACACTCCCGTCCCTTCAGCTGAACCACAAACTCAATTCCCAGGCTGTTTCCTAGAGCAGCCCACAAGGATGCTGCTGTCTCTGTCTGAGCTGCACTGAGGATCAGCAGCTGAGCACCTCACAGGAGGGAATTTGGGCTTCCAGGAAAGCCAAACCCCTCCCAGCAGCTGCAAGGCAGAACTCGAAAGTGAAACCTCGAGTGCTGGAGGAAACACTGGCGGTTGGCAGCAGTGAGCGGGAGATGCCGCGGGGAGCTGGCACGGCTGCCCCTCCCCTCCTGCCAGCAGCTCCATTCCAGTTAGCAAAATCCCAGATTAATTCCCAGTAGGGCCTGGGAAAACACGGGACTGAAAGGAAAGCAGGGGTTTCTTCAGCTGTGCGAGTCCTCAATAGCATCACCGAGGCAGACAGTGTTTGTTGGCTCAATAAATGAACTGCCTGAAGGCCAGCCGAGCCTGGGATGCACTGGACCGTGGGAGTGATGCCCAAGAAGTTTTGTCTTTGATGCAAAAATTGGGAAGTTTTACATAAAACATAACCACACTGCCAGGGCCAGAAAAATGTGCTTCCAGTTCGCAGTTTTTAAAAACACTTTTCAGATGCTGATTTCCCCATCTCTTTATCCCACATGGTACAGATGGGTTTGGTTCCAAATGCCCAAATGG